TTGGGAGTTCGCTTATTTATTCTTTTTTTTTTTTTTTTTGCTTTTGGGGGATAATAGCAAGAATGGGAAACACTGGTTTTTTTTGACACACGAATAAAAAAATAACCCCTGTACTTCCTTCCCCATTCCTGCCTCACTTTCTCTGTTAGGAAGGATGTGCCGTGTGCCCACTGCTGGTTGGAGACCTCTGAACTAGAAGTAGACCCTGACCTCTGAACTGAAAGCAGACCTTGACCTCTGAACTAGAAGTAGACCCTGACCTCTGAACTGAAAGCAGACCTTGACCTCTGAACTAGAAGTAAACCCTGACCTCTGAACTGAAAGCAGACCTTGACCTCTGAACTGGAAGTAGACCCTGACCTCTGTACTGAAAGCAGACCTTGACCTCTGAACTGGAAGTAGACCCTGACCTCTGAACTGAAAGCTGACCTTGACCTCTGAACTGGAAGTAGACCCTGACCTCTCTGGGGTCCTGCCACTGCTGAGCAGCCCTGGTGTCCCCTCGAGGGCCAGCTAACTTCTGCACCAGTCAGAGAACCTGCCCTTTGTCTCCCTTGCCAGGACATTAACATTCATGAATGTATTATTTGTGAAATATTAAGTGCTTGGGATGTTATAAAAAGTGCACTGTGTGTTCATAAGAGCGAGGGGTTCCTGGCTGGTCTGGTCCCCTCTGCAGAGTTGGGGTTCTTGTCCACAGTGGTGCTTGGAGTCAGGCCCTCCCGGTCCACTCAGGGTCATTCCTCAAGGTCATTCCTCAGGTCAGGCCCTGTCAGGTTAGGTCACTTCCCTTCAAGTCTGTTTTGCAGTTTTCTTGGGCCTGTTTATGCTTTTCTAGTTCAAACATAGCTTCCCTAGCTTCTCTTTGATACCAAACTGTCTTAAAGGGTTGAGAACATGAAATTTGATGACATAGCATGTGTTGTTTTCTTCCGCCTGTGTCCCCATCACTCCATTCAAGAGCTGCTGTGTCGCCACCGTGGGTTTGTAAGGCATGGCTTCCCTTCCCGTATACCTGTCCAGGCTGGCGGACCCACCTGCGGGCCTGGCTGTAGAGCTGGTGGCCTTTAGAGCAGAGATTCTCAGAGTCACCCGGACAGCGTGTGAGCACCGGATGCGCCCCAGAGGCTCTGAGCCAGGAGGTCCGGGGCGGGGCCTGGATGCCGCCTCCCTGACAGGTTCCCAGGGGCTGCCCCTCTGCTGCTAGGTGGGGCACTGGACTTTGGGGACCACTGCTCCAGGTCTCCCAATCCTGGTGTCACGACGTGAGGAGCGGTGAGTGACCTGAATCTGGAATGTGGACAGGCCCTGTGGGCACGTGCCTCGTTGGTGGGTGGAGGACCCGGCGTCCTAGCCAGTGGGCTCAGGAAGCATCGGTTGTGTGGTTTGCTATCACGGGATGCCCGTGAGCTTGCCCCCTTGCACAGGCCTTTCTTAGTTAAAAAGCCAGAAGGCCCAGCAACATGCGATCCCCCACATCAAGCCTGCTTGAGAATTGCTGAGCTCTTCATATAAATGAAGATTTGATAGCTTTTCAAGTTTTCACAGCGTGATAACCCATAGGATGGCGCTGACGTGTTTTATGATCAGCTTCACAGGTTGTGTGCTGTCCCCGCATCTTTGATTGTGTAGTAAACACGAATTTATATTTATGTGATCAGGCACCGGCGGTCCTCACCAGCCTCCCTCGGTGTGTGCAGGCGCGTCTCTGCTTCTGCGCTCAGATGTCCGAGGACGCTGATGTGGTAATTCGTGTTTGACAGCTTAGCTAACCCGTAAATAGATTCCAAAACAAATCTGGCCAGGCCTTGCCCTGCTTAAAAGCCTTTAATGGCTCACCAGGGCTTTCAGAGTGAAGTCGAAATTCCTGGCCTCACCCCCTTAGCCTTTTTAGAACACGTCATGGGGTAAATAAAGAAATGCAAATGGAATTGCTTCTCTTAGCATCCAGGGCCCTTGGTGACTGGCCTGCGTGGTCTTGCCCTTCCCTGCAGGCACCTCCTCTGCAGACAGCTCCCTGGGGGCCACCTGTCATCTCAGGCTCCACCAAGGCCTCTGGTGGTCCAGCTCCTGCCCCCAGGCAGGCGTGCCCCTCTTTTCTTAACCCAGCTGACGTCCTCACTACTCAGCTCAAGTGTCACTGCTCCCTGGAGGCCGTACAGACGTCTCCTGGCTGAGACGCCAGGCGGGCAGCCTGTGCCCCCAGCTCTGATTGTGTCCCCACCCCCAGCCCCCCAGTCTCTCCCCAGCGCAGGCTCCAGGTGCTCAGGGACTGTGGTCGTGGGACCAGACCCCAGGATCCCACGCAGGACCCACTGTGTGGTGAGAGCTCCATGGAGCTTGACCGCGTGAGAGGGGAGGACCAAGCTCCTGAAGGCGTCCTCCCTGGAATGAGGCCGTATGTATGTAGCAACAGGGAACACACCTGATGAACACGGACCCAAGGACTGAAATACCCAGAGAAGAGGCCCGAGGCTATAGTAACCAGTCCGTGAGGCCGGGTACCCAGGACTTGGAGGTTACTGTGGCTACCATTTTGGGAATGGCCTTCAGAACTTAGGGCAATAAAAAAAGTTCCTAAATTCAGGCAGTCTTTGCCCTCAGCAAGTGGCCTTTGCCTTTTAGGATGGCCAGAACTTGCTTACCTTTTAGGCTGGGGAGCGTGATAAATCGGTCTGTTTGGGTCCATGGTTGAAAACATCGGAATCCCATTCTAGCAAATTCCAGCGGATGAATTTACCAGCAGGATGTGGGGGGCAGTCCTGAGCATGGGAGGCTGGTCTGAGAGCCAGGCCTGGTGGTGGGCTGAACCAGGGCCGCTGAGGGGTCCAAGACCCCTGTGTCTTTGGGGTACTGCACTTCTTTCTTGGGCCGCCACTTGAGCTTCCTGTTGCCAGAGGGAATCAGCCACCTCTTGGCCACCTTGATTGACGGTGCCAGGAGGGTGGTAGAGAAGAAGAGGGGCAGGTCCTCAAAGGCTAGTTGGAGGAGCTGCCTCCGAAAGCTGGGGGCACGGATGCCCAGCTGGCAGGAGCAGTGCCAGTGCATCACGGTGGGGAAGACACGCGGGCTGTCCCGTCAGCAGTGAGATGCTCATTGAGTCTGGAGCGTGATTTCCTGCATCCGCCCAAGCCCACTGCGTCCTTATAATTCACGAACAAGTCTGGTTATGGTTGGATATTTTGCAGTGTTTCAAAGAGAATGGAATGGGTTCATTGGTGACTTTTCTTTAAGATGCGCAAACACCATGTGTCAACTGGTAAGCAGCTTCAGACATTCTAAATTCCTCCTTGCAGATGTAAAGGCTGGAAATTAAACATCCAGGGAGCTGGGAAAATGCTAGAGGACAGCGCTGCCTTTTAAGTGTTCACTGAAGTGAGATAGTTTTCAGAGCGCGGGTAGCTGAGTGATGCGGCTCGAGGGCCTGCTAGGTGCAGGGAGAAGTCGCTGGGCTGCCTGTGGGCTTGGGATGGTGACAGATGGCTGGGCTGCCTCAGCGCTCGGGCTCCAGCTCCCCCCCTCCCACTTGCCCCGGGACTTTGCCACTCCTCCCTCAGACCAGGTGGTTCCGGGAGGCACACACTCGCCTGGCCTGGGCTTCCTTCCTCTCCCGGCCTTCGTCCCTCAGGGCACAGGGACCCCAGCTGCACGCATGCCTGGCAGCAATAAACACCCCAGAACGCTCTGCTCGTGAGAGGAATGCCTTTCCTGACTGTTCTACTCTGCTCCCCGAGCCTGGGAATAAAACAGAAATGCTGTGCCCTTGCCTTCTCTCATACCCGGGCACATTTTAATTTGAACCTCCCTCCTGGCATTTTCTGCTTTTACTCCGTCATAGTAGCTATTGATTGTGGGGCATATAGTGTGTAGTGTCTAAGGAGAGTGTCTGAATGATGTCTGGTCTTGCTCTTCCTGGCTGTGTGCTTTTGGGGAAGCCGTTTGGATTCTGACCCTCAGTTTCCTCCTACTTTACTTGGAGGAAGTGAGTGTCAGCACCTGGTACCCTTAGCTGCTCTTCCCGCTGACTCTCCCCTCCCCACCCTCTGCTCAGCCCGAGGTCTGTCGAGTGGATGTACGTTCATTCGCCCCTCGGGAGACTTCAGATCTTCTCCGTGTCCTGGGGGTCAGCGGGGGGATGCTCAGCTTGGGAGGGCACACTGTGTGGAGGGTGGTCCTCCCCAGGCTGGGTCTCCGCAGTGGGATTCACCCTCTCTAACATGGTTGGCCCGAAAGCCAGCCGTGCAAATGCTGCTGATGAACAGTTGCCGGCAGAAGCATCCTTGGTCCTGCAGGGTAAGATCTGACTGGCTGGGGACACGGTGGCGTATTGGAAGGGCTTGGTGTCTGTGTCCGTCTGCAGGGTAACAGACTGTCCCAGACCGGGGAGCTTAAGAAACAGACATTTATTGTCTCACGGTTGTGAGGCTGGAGTGCGAGATCAAGGTGTGGCCGGGGTTGGTTGTCTCCTGCGGCCTCTCTCCTTGACTTGTGATGGACACCTTTTCCCTGTGTCCTCATGTGGCCTTTTCTGTGTGCACATCTCTGGGGTCTCTTTTCTTATAAGGACACCAGTCCTATTGGATTAGGGCCCCACCCTTAGGACCTCATTTGACCTTATTTACCTCCTTAAAGGCCCTGTTTACAGCCGCATTGGAGGTTAGGGCTTCAACATAGGAACTTGGGGGGTGGGGGGACGTGATTCAGTCCATAACAGTGTCCTTCCCTTCCCTGGCCTCCCTGATGTCACCCGTATGTGGTACCTGAGCATTTCTTCATCACCCACTCAGATGAGGGCTCCGACTACACAGCCGTCTCCGCTACTGCAGGTATGGGGGGCCGCCCGCCCTTGACTTCCAAAGTGAATGGAACCAGGAAACTGACTTTCTGAACCTGAGATGAGCTATTTATTTTTTGTCTTTATTATAACGTATAATATCTTTACTTCTTTATTAATATTTTTATTTACATTATGTTTAATTATATTTAGCATGTCTCTGTATTTTATATGTTTATTATAATTTTATCTTAATTGAGGTTGCAGAGACTAATTTGTACTGGGAAAAAAATAATAGCCATGAGGTTACTGTTTTATAAAAAATGTAGAAGAGTATGTTTAGATTCAAGCAGTTTTTTAAAAATATAAAACAGATGATAAAAAAAAAATTTGTTTAAAGAAAGAAGCGTAATGAAAAGCAGAAGTGATTGTTCGCAGTGAGACTTAAGTGCAGGGATGCCTCCCGGGGTCCCCCCCACCCCCTTAGGGTTATTGCCCCAGGGGCAGGTGAGAGGATCCAAGCTCAGCCAGGCCTGGGCCCCCGGGGCACGGAGCAGGAATGAGCCCAGCAGCCCATCCTGTGAGCTTGGCCCAGAAACGTGGTCCAGGAGAGAGCGAAGGGCCGACTCTCTCCCCTTTGCCTGAAGACCACGGCTCTGCCACATCCCCCCTGCCACGTTTAGTTCTTTCTGTAGCTCTGGCACTCGGTCCAAGCAAGAACAACGGTGCATCGAGTCGTACCGTGCAGCTCCAAACCCAGCTTTGGACAGTCTCGCGACTTCGATTATTCTTTCATCTATTGTCTGTGAATGCTTTTAAAAAAGGATTTTGGTAAAGAATTTAAAGGTGACAGAAATAAAATCAGCTGTCAGCCCAAACCCCATACCCCCTAAATGGTGTCCTTCAAGATGTTTTGTGTTACGCCCCTCCCCACCGTTGGCTTGCTGGAATTGACTTTGATCCCCGGTGTCCTGACACGGGAGCCAGGCTGGCAGTTGCAGGTCAGTGCTTGTCAGCTGTGCGCAGTAGCCTTTGGGAGTGGTGCGGAGCGGAGCTTCAGCTGGTGTCCCCTGCTGTAGTCCAGAGAGACGAGGGCAAAAAGAATGGTTATTCACTTTTAAATCCTCAAGATAGGATGATTTTTTGCATCTTAAACCAGAGGGACGGCATAGCCATCAGTAACGGGATCCTTAGGTCACCTCATTTCCAGGCCGGTGACGCTGACATCGCTCCTTTAGTGCATCTTGCCCCTCTGCCCTTGATCCTCCTTGAATTCATAGCGACAGAAGGCCCCCGCCAGGAGAATTGTCAGAGCAAACCACCTTGGCACGCTTGAAACCGGTACTGTTAGCGATAGCAGTTTGCAGGTTATGTGACATGAATTATGTTAATCAGCTTATATTTATCAATTGGTTTAATCCTCAAGTGACTCTAAGACGTAGATGTAATTCTCGACTTAGAGATGAAGGAGCTCGAGACTCAGAGTGGAATGATCATTCATTTCCCTCCCTAAGGAGAAGGTCTAGTGTATGCATAGAAAATAGAGAATTGTGTGTACGTGTGTGTGTTTTCATGTGTATATACGTTGGGTGTGCATAGTGGGTGAAGGTAGAAGAAAAGTCTAGGCTTGAACTTTTTGAGTTAAGTATTGCTTTCTCAAACTTACAGAGCAATTCAAACACGTCTAATGTATAGAGAATAGCATAATCCCCTCCCAGATCACCCATCAGCCAGCTTCAATAACTACCAACCCGTGGCCAATCTTACTTCCTTGAGACACCCTGCCACCCACCAATACTATTTTGAAGCAAGTCCAAGACATCCTGTCATTGCATCCATAAATATTTCAGTGTCCATCTCCAAAAGAGGAGAACTCTTAAAAACAAACAAAAAGTGCACGTGACCACGTCACCATTATCACACTTAAAAAATGAACCATTTCTTAATATCATCACATACACAGTTGGTGTCCAAATTTCCAGTTGTCTCAGGAGTATCGTAATTTTTTTTTTTTTTCAGTTTCTTTGAACGGGGATCCGAATAAGGTCCTCGCTGTGCGGGTGGTTGATGCTTCCCCTGAGTCCCTTCCAACGTGTGGGGTCCGCAGCGGTCTTCCTTCTCTTCCTGTGGAATAGATTTGTTAACAGAGCTGGTGCGCCCTGCGGCACTTGTTGGTCTGGAGTTTTTGGGACCACATCCCCTTAGAATTATGTAACATGCCGCCTCTGTGTTTTCCTGTAAATTAGTGGTTGTGGAGGCTTGTGTTGACTCCAGTTCTGGTTTTGTTTGGCCAGACGACTTCCTGGGTGGAGGCCGGGCTTCATCATGGGATGGACCTTTGAGTTGTCTTTCTTTGATGTGAGCAGTACCTAATGGTCATCTTTCGGATCTGTTCATGCTAAGAGGTTGCAAACTGGAGGTAGGTCTTGTGATTTTGTCATTCATTCTTTCCAGGTTGTTGCAAAGCGCTTGGGAAGGAAGTGTTTCTTTCCCGGTGCAGATCTAGTCTCTGCCTGCCTCTGGGGCATATGGCGATTGCTGGTACATTTCAGGGGGATCTAGTCTGTGCCTGCCTCTGGGGCGTGGTGATTGCTGGTACATTTCGGGGGGATCTAGTCTCTGCCTGCCTCTGGGGCGTGGAGATTGCTGGTACATTTCAGGGGAAGGCAGCGGTTTCCCCCGCGCCGCACCGGGTTTGTCAGTACCTAGATGAGACCCAGGCTGGTGTGGATGGCGCCTCGCTGGGCGCTGGCTCCTGGGAGCGGGGTCCCGGTTTTCCACTCAAGGGTGGGAGCCATCTGCTGAGCACCTGCCCCAGCCCTGGTCACCTTCACCAAGATGAGCTGTGAGAAGTGTTTTATGGCGTCCAGGGATGAAACAGCAAGTGTGTACCCAGGGGCAGAGCTGGCCGGACTGGATGCCCATGGGGGAGGCACCGTGTGGGTGGACGGGGAGGGGGTGGCCGGTGTCCAGACAGCCTTGGTTTGAGTGCCGCTTGGACCTCCCTGTGACCTCGGCGGCTGGCGGCATTGAGCTCCACGCCCCCGGCGTCCAGCGGGGACGATGCCGCCCATTTCCTCTGAGTTCTGTGCTGAGTGTCCAGAGGGGCGATTCACGCCAGCGCTGAGCACAGCGCCTGGGACGGTGTAGATGCTGCTTAATCTGTGTTCCTAGTTCCGAGCGTAAAATGGTTGTGACAGTGGGTGGGGTGGGGGGGGCACCACTGTCACGTGACAGCTGGCTGAACTTGGCTCCGCGTGGCTAGGGCGGCCGACCCTAATCCCAACGACACCCACGGATGTTGGTTCCGATTAGAAGTCCTGCTCAGAGGGAGTGAGCGTGTCCCGCCAGGGTGAGGCGGGGGATGGCTCAGGCCCAAGATGTAACCTTAACGGTACAGGGTGGCTTAAGCAACTCCCGGTATACTTTGTACGCAGGCTCCAGGGGTGGTGGAAAGGGGTGGAGGCAGGTCTGGAGGCTTTGAGCTGAGGATCTGGAGAGGAGAGGATGCAGGTGGACGGCTGCCCGCAATCTCTTGTCAGAGGACGGAGCCTCCGTGGTCCTGCCCGCGAGTCAGCGTGACCCGCATCCTCCCGCCATATGCCCGAGGCCTTCCCCCAAAGGACGAGCTGGCTGTACAGCCCTCACCCCTCCCTTCCAGGAAATGTTCTTATCACACAAAGCGGGGAAACAGAAGGTTGTACTGGAGAGCCTGCCCAGCAAGGCCCTGCTCACTGACTGGGGGGTTTGTTGGGGGGGGGGATGTACATCCAAGAGAAGCAGATGGTGGGCAACATACCACCCTTATCGACCTCACTGGGCACATCTGGGCCCCAAGATGACCAAGGGAGGAACTCTAGGGATCCTGCGTCTCTTTGGATCGATTCTTGGATATTGCTGGCTAAGTATGTATTAAATCCTAGATAAACTAATTCTGTGTACAAATTCTAGGTAAAATGTCTTCATGGCAAAATAGGAGTTTCCATTTAAAAAAAAAAAAAGAAAGCTTGAAAATGTATCAGGTATTCCTCCTGAGTCTGCACAGTGTGAATGCCATTTTAAAGTTTCAGGGTTAAATTTCTTAAGGTGATGAGATAAGGCAGGTATGAAATTTAACAGAGAACATTGAGATTGATCCCTTTAATGGACTTTACCCCCTTTTTTGGGGTGGTCACTGTTGAATGTTAAATTTCTGTTTTACGTCGGGGTCTCCTTTGAAACTGGAGGTATTGATGTGGTCTTCGGCAAATGTCTCCATTGCAAGAGAGAAGACTAGTTTATAAAGTGGGCAAGCTGCGTGGGAGTTCTGTCCGATGGCTGTTTTAAAAAGTCAAGGCCACTTAGCCGCGTGGACCCAGAGGCATAGCTGGGTTGTCCCGGTCGATGCAAACCTGGGGACCAGCTGTGACGGACGTCCACAGAGCAGCCCCGTGGGAAGACCTTCGGTGTAGCACAGATGTCCTGGCCTGTCTCCTCCCAGGGGAAGGCTCGGGCATGGCTGTTGCCTTGTGATTCATCGCTGTTTACTTGGAGACCATGAGTTAGATTTTTATTTTTTGCAGCAAGAAAATCACTTGAAAATGTGGAATATCACCCTTGTATAATCCTGTGATAGAAAACAATTTACATTTTAAAAAAAAGAGCCTCTTGTGAATGAGTTACGGTAACAAGGAATGAATTATTTGGAGACGAAAAGAAAAACCTTCACAAAGCATACATTTAGAAGCAGTAGGAGCTTGACAAGATCGTTGTGCGTAAATTAAAATCAGAAGGAGATGCGGATGAGGATGTGAACTGCAGGGCCTGTGTGAGAAAGTTCACCACCAGCCTGAGGTTGGAAATTGGACGCACTTGTTGCTTCTTGAGGTGGAGAATAGTGATGATGTGTAATAAACCTAAAAATTAATGGAACACTTTTCCTTGCAAATTGTAAATGAATGTGGGTGAATTCTTGTAGCATTTATCCCAAAACTGTACAGGCAGACTTCCACTGATGGAATGAAACCGTGGAAGTGATAGAGTGGATTGTTTTGGGAAGCATTTCTCTCCGTACTTTTGGGGTGGTGGCGGTAGTCTTGTTTTTCTTCTGAAATGGAAATACTGTCAGGCTTCCAGTCTTCCATGAAACTGTATCAAGCGAAAGTAAAGTAGCAATTCTTCTTTATCAACTTAGTGTTTTGTTCATGGCAACAGTGATCAGTAGGAACCCGTATGGAATGGGAGATTGCAAAATCCCCAGGAAACCGGAAATGGGGGGTGGTGTGTGATTTTAGGAGGAGAATCCAGGTTGTCAAAGCCACTGGCCAGACCTGATTCTCAGTGTGGAGGTGTGGCCTGGGATGTATTTAAACTGACCCAAGTCAAGAAATTATTAATAAGTGGGGAGAATGCCTGAAAAACAGGCATCCAGTTTTTTTATATAGAATTTATTAAAATTTATTTATTTATTTATTTATTTATGGCTGCGTTGGGTCTTCATTGCTGTACACAGTCTTTCTCTAGTTGCGGCGAGCGGGGACTGCTCTTCATTCCAGTGCGCGGGCTTCTCTTACTGCAGTGGCTTCTCTTGTTGCAGAGCACGGCTCTAGGTGCGTGGGCTTCAGTAGTTGTGGCTCGCGGGCCCTAGAGTGCAGGCTCAGTAGTCGTGGTGCACAGGCTTAGTTGCTCCGTGACGGGTGGGATCTTCCCAGACCAGGAATCAAATCCATGGCCCCTGCATTGGCAGGAGGATTCTTAACCACTACGCCACCAGGGAAAGTCCCATCCAGTTATTTTATTTTACTTTTTTTGCGGTACGCGGGCCTCTCACCTTTGCGGCCTCTCCTGTTGCGGAGCACAGGCTCCAGATGTGCAGGCTCAGCAGCCATGGCTCACGGGCCCAGCCACTCCGCAGCACGTGGGATCTTCCTGGACCTGGGCACGAACCCGTGTCCCCTGCATCAGCAGGCGGACTCTCAACCACTGCGCCACCAGGGAAGCCCCATCCAGTTATTTTTAAACAGACTATTAAACAGACTGCTTAAACATTTGTAATTTGTGTTCATTGTAGGATTATTCAAAGTAGAGATGGGGGAAAAAAGCCCATAACCGAGCATTTCAGGATGTCGTATTGAGGTTTTTTCGCGTGAGTTTCAGATGGTCTTTGCTTGCTTCCTCTCACATCTTACAACAGAGGCTCTTATGGTGCTCAGGTCCTCAACCCTTGTTTTTAATATCCGGTGATATAACTGGAGCGTCGCTACCAAATTGCATGTGTGTTATCCTTTCAAGTGAATGGATGTTTCAGAATTAGCCACACTCTGTTGGGCATTTAAGGTGCTTGAGTTTTTGCTGTTCTAAACAATGCAGTAAAGGATGTTTTCATAATAACAGCACTGAGCATTATTTCTTTGTGATGTCATCCTCGATGGGTGATTGTTCTATCAAAGTTTTTTTTTTCCCCAATAAAAGTAATGTATTATTGCACTGATGCCAGAAAGTTTGTACCCATTTATCCTCCCATGAGGAGAATGGACCCTCCCTTCCCCACCCCACACTTGGGCATCGCACTCCAGAGGGAAGGGGTGGAATGGGGTGGCCTTTACTAGCCCGGCTGCTGGACCAAGTCTGTCCTTTCTCCCAGCAGGCCCCTGGGACAGACTGCCACCTGCACACACGGGTCATCCCCACCTTCCGCCGCTATTTGTGATCTCTTAGGCTTCATAAGGGTATTGATTATGGACTTTTCATTTCAGGTCTGGAACTGGAGAGTGGGATGGAGAAGTTCCCAAAACTCTGGGGAAAGTAAACGCACAGTGTGTGGGAGTTGCCTAGGGAGAGACGGCTGAGACTGTCATTGTCATGTAGTCGGTGAAAGATTGGCTTCTCAACAAAGTGTCTTTGCCCAACTTACTTCTTGCAGGAACTTTGGAAGAACACGTGTTTCCATCCTTTGTGAGCTTCGGCGTGTGCGAGCAGCCTTGTGTGTGATGAATAGTTTTGATCACAGTTTGGCTGTCGGTTACTTGATTGTTCGACTGTGTATTTTTCTCGTTCCTTCCCTGTCTGCAGTGCCGATGGTTTCCAGGTCCCCTCTCTTGGGACTCTAACTCTGTGTGGCGAGTGGCTCCAGGCCCTCGCTCTGCTGCCTGGTCAGATTTCTGCTGCACTGTGAGAAAGCCCCTTTGCTGCCTCGTCATAGGTAGAGCCCTGGTCCTTTTATGTTATGGGGAGCAATTGTTGTAAGTCCTCTCCAGGGAACTCGGACTTCTGTACCGTGTGCTGGAGCTTGCCCTGGGCTGGTGGTTGTAATACCTACAGTTTAGTGGGCATCAGCTGCATGTGAAGAATTTTATGTGTATTGGCTCCCTGTTATAATAATCTACAGAATTCTTATTATCGTGGCAGGTAGGGATTAAGAGACTCAGAGAATACGAATGTCATGTAAGGTCCTACAGGTGGTGAGTGGAGAAATCAGGCTTGGTATCCAGGTGTGCCTGACCCCAGAGCCCATGGTATCCATTGCACATGGTATCCATGGGACACGGGACAGACATGCACAGCCAGCATCAGACTGGGCAGCTCCAGGGAGCTGGTACAAAATGCTTGAGAGCTCGGGCCAAAAGACTTCAGCTCGCCATGTCTGAGAGCTAGAAGGGAACAATGAACCTCTGCATTCAGGTTATTCTCATTATTGTGCTAACCTGTCCCCACCTGGCATCCCCTGTGTGAGGTGCACACGTTGGCATGTGAACCTTCTTCGGGACCGTCATGCGTTTCATCCCCTCGGCCTGGCCTGTGTGAGTCAGGGCTGTCGGCAGTATCGGGAGTAGAGGTTGAGCAGTGGGGGAGAGAAGGGAAGCTGGGCAGGCAGATCTCTGGCCCCTGGCTGCCCACCGGCGCAGT